CCACTGAGGACTCCCTCCTCTCCTCTCTGCTCTGAGATCTGTGATCGGTCCTTCAGTGTCCACGTGACCACATCACTGAGGACTCCCTTCCTCACCTCTCTGTTCTGAGATCTGTGATTGTTCCTTCAGCGTCCACGTGACCAGTTTGGTTTTTGGCAGCATCATTTCTGTGTGTTGGCACTTCCATTTGGACATTTTTTTAGTTGGGAATTGTGTTTTTAATGTTCAGGATTGTCTTTCTGTTCTCTCTCCTTCCTTGGCACCTTGGTCTTTTTTTTTTTTTTTTTTTTTTTTGAGATGAAGTCTCTCTCTCTCTGTCGCCCAGGCTGGAGTGCAGTGTTGCAATCTCCGCTCACTGCAGCCTCGACCTCCCTGGTTCAAAGGATTCTTGTGCCTCAGCCTCCTGAGTAGCTGGGATTAGAGGCGTGTGCCGCCATGCCTGACTAATTTTTGTGTTTTTAGTAGAGATGGGGTTTTGCCATGTTGCCCAGGCTGGTCTGGAGCTCCTGACCTCATGATCTGCCTGCCTCAGCCTCCCACAGAGCTGGAGATCACAGGCATGAGCCCCAGGCCCTGCCCAGGCACCTTGGCTTTGTTTAATGATTGCAAGTCTCTCAGGTCTCCCTGAGACATTCTTGTGTGACTCAAGCCCAGGGCCCTGCAGCCCCACATCCACCTGGTGTCATGGTCCGAGGACCAGAGAGGAGCCGCCAGAGGCGGGCAGAGCCCCGAAGCATGGACTTTCACAACTGCAAGGACGAAGAATTTTAACTATTTCTCAATGTCTTTCCTCCCAAAGTAATACATTTATTATCTTCATTTTCTCTTTGTTTTTTTCCCAAAGACACAACAAGGACTTTGTGTGAGACGTAACGAGGCAAGCCTTTTCCGAAAACTCCTGGTAGAGACCGCCCCGGCCTGCAGGATCCCTCCACCTGCAGCGGCTGCTGACCACCTTTCACTGCCCCAAGGTGACACCTCCCTCCCCGCTGCCCTCCCTACCTGCCTGGCCAGGAGCGGCCGCAGGGCGTTCCTTCCCAGCCACTGTCCACCCGTGCCGAGGCCCCAGCCCCGAGAGGCCGTCTGGGCTTCCTGTCCTGCGGAAGGGGAGACACACAGGACCCTGTGGAGTGAGCTCTCTGGTCCTGCTCCTCTGGGAAACTCACAGAAGGTTCTCGGGGAGGATCTGGCAGATTTAAGTGTTGCACCTGTTAGCGATGGCTTATGAGCTCTTCTGGCATTGCCTCAGTTTCCCCCAGGAGCACCCCTCTGTTCAGTGTGGCCTCTTTCTGATGTGGGTTTTCCTCTCCCACTTGAGGAGTCATGGGTGAGCCTGTGTATTCATGGATGAGTTGTAGGACCTCTCGCTGTGTGGGGGTCATTGAGGGCTCCCCAGAACCCATCAAAGCCTTGGGTCTACTGAGGGGTGGCAGCACGGGCATCGGGGGCTTTGCCAGGGTCACAGCCCTGGACAGCCACTTCCCACAGCCGCATGGCTCTGGTCGGGGTCAGATTCTGCAGCATGGCCGTTCACTCCCGTGTAGGGCCCTGCTCCATCTGCAGCCCAGCCCAGCTCGCTCCGCTGGGACGTGGCCCTGGGCAGTGCTGGGCTGTGGGCTGTCAGTGCCGGTCCTGGGGGCTGTGTTCCTAGTCCCCTGTGGTTCCCCTGACAGTGGCGGGTGGGGCTGGCCCTCCCTGGGGCTGATGGCATAGGTCCTCCCCTTCTCTTCCTGCAGATGGACACTCCCCGGAGTTCCGGCCCCCCTTAAGCCACAGGCAATAGCACGAAGCTGGCCTCGCCACCGCAAATCTCCCGAGTGAACGGCTGTTCACCGCCTAGGAACGCCTTCCAGATAGTGTCCTGGACCGTCTTCCTGACCCTGTCCTTGGCCATCTTCGGGATCTTCATTCCCTTCCTGTGTCACGTGTGGAAATACATTGCCTACGTGGTATCCTTTTCACGTCTAAGCAGGAGGGGCTCCTGGAGGACCCTGCAATGGACCTGGTCTGGGGTCCAGGCCATGCCTGCCCAGTGGCACCAGTCACCTGCCCTAAACCAGACCACATGCCCTGCGCCTGCAGGTGGGCCCCATGGGCACTCATGCTCCTGCAGCCCCTGCTGAGGGTCGCGGTGGACAGGGCAGCCACTGACTCTGCATCAGGCTGTTCCCACACGACTCAGGGTTGAAGTGGACAGGTCGGCCACCGACCCCACATCAGGCTGTTCCTGTGCAGCTGTGAAGGAGATCCGAGGCTGGGTAATTTACAAAGAAAAGAAGTTTAATCAGCAGACAGTTCAGTGGGCTCTTCAGGAATCGTGGGGCCGGCATCTGCTCCGGTGCTGGGGAAGCCTCAGGAGCCTTCACTCGTGGCGGAAGGTCAAGGGGAGCAGGAGGTCATGTGGCCAGAGGGGGTTCAAGCGGGGTGAAGGGGAGGGAGGTCCCACACTTTTTTAAACAACCAGATTTCCCATGAACTCTGGGAGTTCACTCACTACCGCAAGGACAGCACTGAGCTGCTCACAGGGACCCACCCCACGACCCAAACACCTCCCACCAGGCCCACTTCCAACCCTGGAGACTGTATTTCAACATGAGATGTGGACAGGACGCACGTCCAGAGGATGCATGTGCCATGGGGGGAGCACAAAGGAAGGCAGGGGCAGAGGAGGGGAGGGGAATGTGCCTGGGGGGAGCCGTGGGGGGTCTGGGGGGGAGCAGCAATGCCAGGGCAGAGGAGGGGAGGGGGACATGCCGTTGGGGGAGCCATGGGGGGAGCACAAAGGCCAGGTTGGAGGACTTTGGCCGTTTTAGCTAAGGGGCCAATCCATGTTGTTCAGTGAATAATACTAAGTTTTAATGAGAAGGGACTTAAGGAGAATACTAAGCCTGGGCGAGGCACAGCTGAAGGTTCTGCCCCGATGTGGCCAGTGTATGCTGTGGAATCTGTTTCCGGGTGCAACAGAGTGTCCTGGTCAGCCCTGCGTGGCTGGCTCATGGCCAGAGGGGAGTTCACGTGGGTCCCCAGGGATGGCTGTGCTCATGGATAAGGCACCACCGGCTGGTTAGGAGAGGAGACGGCAGCGCAGAAGAGGGTGGGGGGCGGGCATCTGCTCCCATCATCTCCCAGCAGGTGGGGGCCTACCTCTCCCATCATCTCCCGGTGGGCGGTGGGGGCCCTATGTCTGCTCCCATCTCTAGCATGCACGTCCGTGGAGCATGTGGGCTCTGCAGTACCCCCAGCCAACCATAGCATTTAGTAGAGAAACCGGGGGCCCCCTAGGGTGGCTGAGACATGAGTGTGTGGGGACAAAGGGGTCTGGGGATGGAGGGGCTGCGTTCAGTGCCCAGGGGCACTGGAGCCATATTTCTAAAGTGGGATGTGTCACTCCCCAGTGGAGTCTTCCACAGTGGGGAAGCAGCCACACCACCACATGCTCCTAGGGCTGGGCCGTCCTGGGCAGCTGAATGGCGAGCCTGGTGTGCAGAGTGAGCAGGCGCCATGGGGACTGCAGCCAGCCGGCCTGAGCGCCTCAGCCACTGGCTGTCTGGGCTGGGAGTGGCCGTCTGGGTCTGGGAGTGGCCGTCTGGGGCTGGGAGTGGCCGTCTGGGGCTGGAGGTGGCCGTCTGGGATGTGAGTGGCCGTCTGGGGCTGGGAGTGGCTGTCTGGGGCTGGGAGTGGCCGTCTGGGAGTGG